CCCCCGATTTGCTTTGTACAAACTCAAAAAAGAAAAAAATAACTGATGAGGGTGTTTCCGGACTTCCTTGAGCCGCACGATGAATTAGCGAAACCCGAGTGGGAACGCATACATGTGTGTGAATATCAACGTTGTGACGTTCACGCCTTTAAGGCGGTCTAGTGAATACGTGTGGAGCGTATGACATCCTCCCATTTTACTGTAAAAAGCTTATTGCCCACCTTAAGAGAATTATGCACTTTATGGTCTGAATTACTGAGCTGCACATATCTGAAACTCAAAAGGGCGAGTTGGTTTACAGTAGGGCTCTGTGTCCTCTTCTCCGCTGTAGCAGATGGATGTTGGAAGAAGGAGAGATCTGACGGTAACCCAACTCCTAAAAAATGAAAATCACGGGTTTGTTGCACGTGCATGCGTGTCTGTGCGTCCTGCGTGGTCTTAACATAAAACAAATGGTGAATGGTGATTTGAGCTGCAGATCAGAAATCATAGCAAGACGTTACGTAATGTAAGCATGGCCCACATAGGAGTCTCACCTGCCAGTGAGACCCAGAGACCCGAACCCGGGAGTGGATCGGAATGGCTCCACAGCGCCCCCTAGGTTGCACACAGTGACATGACGGAAGGTGTCACATTTTCCAGAGCAGAAAGGGAATGACAGCTTTTCCATCTAAATAAGAGCCAGGGGCTCCCAGCTATGTTTCTGGAACGGACGGTGTGAAAATGTGAGAATGTGGAATCACATCTGACTCTTTACTCGCAAGAACCTAAGAACAGACGGTGGGTTCCTCGCGGTGGGGGGAGCCAATATTCCTTCGGTGACATGGGAGGCATTATAAGGAACGCCCTGTCTGCCGCTGAGGGGGGGGGGAAGGATTGAAAATCCCTCTAAGTGACAGGCAGATGAGTTTCTGATCCCGTCGGAGAAAACCCAAATCGCACTGCCAGACAAGGAGGGAGATTATTCGCACGGCCAGCTGCATGCAATGTGACTCTCCATTTTAACGATCTGATTACCAGGCAGGAATCGTTTAGACTGAGGGGAAAATGTGTGAATCACACATGCCTGTTTAATTGATACTGGAAAACCAAGGATCATATTGTATGTGTCATGTTGCTTCTCTCTCTCTCTTTTTAATCTGACATTGATTCCTACAATCTGCTAAGCAGTCTCATGTCAGTCATGCTTTCCAGATATTTCTGTAAAACCTGCAATAGCTTTACCATACCTTTGCTTTTGCTGATATAGAAAGCATCTCCAGATCTGTATTCTCTTTCTATCCATTGGTCGATTTTACGCAAGTGGTTATCCTGCATAGGGTCATAGTGAGCCTGGCATCTATCACAGAAAGCAGGGGACACCTTGGATGGGGTGCCGGTCTGCTATAGAGCTCACTGAATTCTCATTTATATGGCTAAACGCCTTTCCTGATCTTGCACTTCCTACCAATGCAGAATCTCCTTCAGATATGCAACTGAGGGCAGTTTATATAGGGGATTAACCCACTTTAATCTTTTAACTTTCAATCCTGACCCTTGCAGTTATGTAACATAAGGAATTAATCCATAACTCGACTTCCAAGCGCCGATTTTAAGCCCTTGCAATCCACTGTATACTTGGAGACATTAACGACGCGGCTTCGTCAGTGAAAATGTCACCTAGCATCTTATTTGCCCTGTCAGGTATTGTTGTTGCTTCACGCTAGCGGGATAGCAGCGGTTATCTCGGCTCCGGACCAACCGTGAAACTGAACAGCAGTTCCAGACCTTGTAAATACTCAACCATGACCAACGCGGCCGCTGTACCTTACACCTTGACCAAAGTTAGCATGACATAATCTCAAGAGGTGAAATCACTAGGGCTTATGGGATAGGTGAGCAGTCAAGTGCACAAAACAACCAGTGCAGGGAGGGAATATGTCATCCTGCATAGTATTGCAGGATGGGAGTGCAATGGTCATGCCATTATATGTATTAAAGTCCACTAAACTCTGTAGGAGGACACATTTTGTGATGAGAAGATAATGGGTGGGAAGCAATGTTGGAAGAGCTTTGAGATCTGGACAGAAATGAGCAGGCTGGTCCTGTTTTTTCCCCCCCCTTGTATTAATCTTTACTGCTAAGTCATTGTTTGTGTGTTATTTTTTCCCCTCTTATAAATCCATAAACCATGCCTTTCTCAGTTTTAGTTAGCTGTTTTCACTGAAGCCGCAAACACATTCTGGAGCTGGTGGACAGCACCTGCTATCTGCGACTTCAAGAAGTGATTTGCACACACACTGCTCTTTGGATGTACGCTGAAATTTTGCGTTGCCTAGCAACAGGCAGAGCAGGGGCAGCCTAAGAAAGGCTCTCGGATTCAGAGGAGCAATTCGTGGAGAGAGCCGAGGAGAAGAGAGGGAGTGAATTCCAAAGGGACTCATTGTAGCAAAAAAACAATACCACTGCTTAAACTGATGACTGTCGTTTCAAGAAATTGATCAGTGAGTCGTCCCAGAAGTCTACTTCCATGACTTTTTGGTGTTAATCAAACACGGTGGTCCGGACCATTGCATGTGACAAATACCCAATTCAGATAAGCTCAATTTCATTGAATATGCAGTCATTGTCTTGTAGTGGAAGCCTTTCCGTCTTTGTCTCAGTACCTTGTCATTGTTAGATGAACAGTCTGGTTGTACATATCCTGTTTTATAATCTTTGTAAAACTCCTGGAAGAATATTGGACAATAAAAAAGACAATGGTTGTGTGATGTAAAATATCCTTATTTATGAATTAAATGTCTGAGGTTAAATGTTGCTGTTTTGTTTTTATTTCACATGCTCGTTTGTAATTTATTTGTAATCTATTTTTAAATGGACATGAATTCTCCTTTGGGTTTTGTCATTTTATTTTAATAAAGCCTACCTTGTTCAGCAACATGTCTGTCTCAAGAAGCCTGAAAATCAGTTACGGATATGGTGTGAATCAATAGAGGTCAGCTTTCTGATGTCTATAGATGCCTGTACTGTATTATCAAAAGTGGAGTTTAAAAACATAAAACACTGCAAAACAGTTCGGCGAGGAGCAACAGCAGATCTCAGCGCTTAATTACTTGGGATATATCAATTGTTTGTTTTTCAAGTTTGAATCTGTTGCTTGCCAAGTCATCAGTTAGTTACTAGGATGGTGCTTTTAGTCCAAATGATTTACAATGTATCATGTTTATTTATTTAGCACATGCTTTTATCCAAAGCAACATTCAGTTGTGAAAGCAGGGTCCCTGGAGCATATGGGGTTAGGGGCCTTGCTCAAGGTACAAGCAGTGAAATTACTCTGCCTACCTCGGGATTTCAACAGATGACCTTCTGATCCTAACCCACAAAGCTACCAATGAAAAGTCAAAACTCTAAAACCCTGAATATAATAGACAAACACATACATATTTTATTTGTGAGATTTGACTGCCGTAAACTGTCTAATATATGTTTCTCAATATTCAGAACATCTAAAGAACACCAATAAAGAAAAAAAAATATCTCAGAAAGGTTATGTGCAAAGCAATATGTCTGGTGTGTGACTGGATCTCCTTTGATCTTTGAATCTTTTGCAGAAGAACTGGTAAACACATCAAAATCGGTGATAATTTGACATGAAGTACACAGACCAGGTTGTGTTTTGCTTCATATACACAAGCCGCAAGGCTTCCCTTTATCTAGCCTCTGCAGAGCAGAAGGAATGGTTCTTGGACCACAACCAAGCCAAACCTGTTTTGACTCTGTAAAATCAGCCAGATGCGTAGTCGGCAGCTGAAGGTGACGCCTTTGTTGGGTAGGGGTCCCGCAAAGGACCTTCTTCGCTTCCAGACGATTGCATAATGGCGAAACCCGGGGGTCCATTTATACCCCGTATCTAATACCGGGATATTTCCGATTCTTCATGCATGTCATGCCACTGTCTCATGACCAGCCAAGCATTTGTGGCTAGCTTAGCCTACAGAGTGAGGAAAATCATAAATAAACATTTCACATCAGTGATAGTGGGCTTCTAAGCAGCTGAACCGAAACACAATCTAGAGGAAAACACAAAAGAGGCAAGAAATTAGTTTCAGGGCTGTGAGAGGAGCATAAAGATGCTTGGTTAAGCAGATCTACCCCTCCACCCCACCCCCACACTCCCGGCTTTAAACCCCTGGGCTGTGCTCTTGGCAGTTTTCCGGCTTCTAGGACAGAGCAGTTTCAGCTGAAAGTGCTATGAAGCTGCAGAGGAGGTGTGATGGCCAGGAGGATGCTGGGAGTCACCAGAACGACGGCATCCCCCGGCCAAGCTAACTCGCTGCGGTCCAGCGCTTCGACATTTTGATCCATCGCTCTCCCTCCCTCCTTCTCAATCTCCTGCCTGTTTCTCCGCCTCTCCGCCATCCTTCCCCGTGTCATTCCACACATCGCCGAGGAGATAAGAAGCCGTCCGCAGGGCCGGTGTGAAATTCCTCCCCTATCAGCCAGACACGCGCTATCTGTCCCCCAGGGAGACCGAGGTCGGGTGACGATGGCCTCGAGACACAACATCTGCGGTGGGGAGAGGGAGGCGCCGGCTGCCACCGGCGTTCGAGGAAGGCCGTGCACCAGGAGAAGCGTGCCAGAGGTGAAGAGGCTCACTCCAAGGCTGCGGGCAGGTCGGCAGGCTGTCACAGCCTCAGCAGATCCTAGCATTATGATCCGGGTGAGATGCAGAACTTATCTTAAAAAATGCCACCACTTGTTACAGAAATG